CTTTCCTGTGAGGGTGACAGAGCCCTGGGACAGGCTGCCCAGGGAGGTTGTGGAGTCTCCTTCTCAAGACCTGTCCAGATGCTTTTCTGAGTGATCTGCCCTAGTTGTTTTTTTTTGGTCCTGCTCTGGCAGGGGGGTTGGACTTGATGATCTTCAGAGGTCCCTTCCAATCACAACCATTCTGTAATTCTATGAGTTGAAAAGCCCCCTCCATCTGTACTTTAGGGAAGGAGACCCTGTTGACTCACATGGCTGTTTGCTTGTGGCTGATTTCTGTAACTTTTCATGATGTCCTGAAAAGATCTTTCCTCTTTGGTTACCTGGAAAAGAAAAGGCTATTGAAGACCAACTGCAAGCAGCAAGGTTGGGCTACTCAGGTCCAGTTTGTTCAATTAGCTTCCCTCCATACAGCTTTTTTTGTTAGTTTTAAAATTAGGTATTCATAGTGATACTTAGTTCTAGTGATGAGAATGTGAAAAAAACAAGGATTTTTCTTGTTCAGGCATTCTTTGTTTCTTAGCTACTAAAGCCTTTTGTTGCTTATGATGACTGAGAATTATTCCTTTCTCAACTTCTAGTGACATAAAAATCAGAGAAGGGAAATATCATTAAGTCAGAAATGTATTTGTGAATTTGAGAACTGGACCCATTAACATTTCTAAACAGAAGGTGCAGAAATTCTGAACAGAACAGCAAGCAGGCACATGCACATGTGCAATTTCAGCTCTCTTTTGTATTTCAAAATAGCTCATGTTAAAGGACACTTTTTTAGCCAAGCATCTCTAATTTTAATAGCAGATGAGCTACTATTTTTGTAATATTAGTCAGGAGAGAATCTATCAAAGTCTCTGGCTAAATTTCCAGGTCTAACAACACCACATTGGAGACAGCCTTCAGGAGACTTGAACAAAAACAGAAGTGACAAGCTACATGATGAAACCCACAGCACTGACAGTTCAATGGTTTTGCTTTTCTGCAGCCATTAGTGTTAGTGTCAAATAAGCTTAAGCCAGGCTACAGGTAGTAGGAGCACAGGTTGTCACCATCTGAGCATCCCCTTCCCTCCACAGAGGGTGCTTCTCAGGAAGGTAATCCATCCCAAAGGTTTCCAGAAGCTTGGTTTTAGTTTCACTTTCCTGAATTTGTGTCCGAATCAGACTTGATGGCCACTGTAACCATCGGCTCTTCAGTTTGACTCCAACCTATATTCCAGTTTCATAATCCAACTTAATAAAACCTTAAATCAAGGCTTGCAAATTGAATGAGAAATTAAGAATTTGGAGTATCAGGCAACCATCTCCATCCCTCAACCTGAATCTTCAGAAGCTAAGAGAATTTTTGTGGAATAGCAACTTTCCATCCATCCATAAGGTTGTGAGCTCCTGCAGATACTGGCACCTGCATCATTCTGTAACCATAAGGGTGCTGCTAGTTCAGATTACACAGAGCAGGAAGATGGCAAACAGGACAGAAAACAGACGTGGGGCATTGGGACCACACACTACTTTGTCTATGCTGAATGCTTGTCATGAATGAGTTCAGGAAGAGAGCAAGCAAAAATGTGGTGGGGCCTCATCCACTTCTTGGAGGGACTTTTCTTTCCCTCCAGTAACAGGTCAGGAATGAAGCAATCAAATTATAAACTGCAAACACAATTTACAGTGTCAGTTGACATAAAATGGCCCAAGTTTCTTACAACCACAGGTTACCTTTGCCATGATGTAGAAAGCACAGAGGAGGAGCTGGTCCAAGTGTCTGTCCTTCATTAGATCAGGACAATGAACCAATGTGAATTCAAAGCAGGTCCAGATCTTCCTGCGCAGGTCAGTGGAGACGTCCAGCTTCAGGCACAGATCACGCAAGCGCACGCTCGCCAGGTGGTAAACCTGAGGAGAGGGACAGCACTGGAGCCCAACCAGCTTCACCTCACCTGCCAAACTGACAGTCCTCAGAGTAGAGTTCTCTTTGAATAGTTTGCCTCTGCAAAACCTTCCCCCTCTGCCCATGACAACGACTTGCAAGGCTAAGCTGCCAGCCCTGTTCAGGTGCGGCATCTCTAACGCCAACAGGAAACTCACATAAGAAGAGTGTGACTTCAGCTTCTATACCCTGTCACTCACTCAGTACAATGGACACTGCCAACCAGCACAAAGAAGGGTCAGATCCTTTTTTAAATTTTTCATTACCAAAAATCTGTTTCAAAACCTGAAGTAACTATCAAGTGCAACATCAGCCTTCTGTTTGGTTCCAGAAGTTCTAGCTTCAGGGACAGTAACTGGGCACACTCTTTATGCTGGAAAGCAGAGTTCATCTTGTTTTCACTTGTTGCACTGAAGAGGAACAAGAAAGGGAAGTAGGGAAAAACTGTAACTTTGAATATGATGAACAATGGAAATGGGAGGTCAAAATTTAAAGACAGATTTAAGTGAAGATTTTAGTTCTCCTTCCTAACTAAGAGCAATATGTTGCCTACCCCATTGTTGGTCAAATACATGGCTAGAGCTGAAGTATTCCCCAGCTGAGAGTAAAGCTTCCAAAATGCAGTTCAAATTCCTGCCTGGCAGCTGCCTAATCCATCCTCAGCGAGAGAATGGAATTCTCTCAGTCCATGCTCAGAGAGAGACACAGACTGACAAAATTAAACATTGAAACATTCAGACACAGGACGTGGTTTACAACTGTTTCTAGGAATTAGTTTCTGTATTACATCTACCTTAAAGATTGTTCAATGCACAATTCTCTAGGTTTACAACACAGACACCCTAAAAGGAGAAAAACTCTGAGAAAAGCTTCTCTCGTAAGAAAATAATAGCAAAAAAATTTTTGAGAGATTAATTTGGGCATATATTCTTTGCAGGCATCTAGGTAAGTTAGCCCTGCCTCCTCTCACACACTGGAAATTAAAGCAACTAGAAACAAGTCATCTGAAGTTTCTCTGAAGCACACCCAGTTCTTAACTTACCCCTTATATCCTTCACTTTTTCAGTGAAGGAAAGAAGTTCCTTCTTTCCAAAAACTTTTAGATAGCATCTTATTTGTCATTGCTTTCTGAGGTCCCACAGCAGCACAACCAGCACCGCTGGGGAGACCTCAGGCAATTGCAAATGAGAATCTCCAGATGCAAGATCCAAAACAGTTTTGAGTGAGGAAGACACAGGAGAACAATCTCACCTCTGCTATGTCCAACCATTGCAAATGTTTGAGGCAGCAGAAACAGGCAAGAGAAGTAAAAATGTTATTTCTTATGGAGTTATTTAGAGAAGCTGCTCATTAAAGGGAAAAAAAGAAAGAAAGAAACATCTTGGGGAGAGGAAGGAGGAAAACTGGACACTCCGCAACACCTGGCAACATCTTTTCCTGTCTCCTCCCAGGTGTACAAGAACTGCTCATGCCAAAAGAAAGGTCTGTGAGGACTGAAAGGCCATGAAAACTGCACAAGGAGGCAAGTTCCAGCGTGGCTTCAGAGAGTAGCAAGGCATGACTGCCCAACAGGGACACTGACCTTCCTGTAGAACAGTGCCAAGGATCCTGTTCGCTTGGGTTTGCCGGCTGGTGGTGGCTGCACCTCCTGGGCCTGGCTCAGGGGGGCTGGGGTGGGAGCCTGGGCCTCCCCTTTGCAGGGCTGGCCCAGACTCATGGAGATGGGTATCAAGGTGATCCCTCCCATGTCACTTGAAATACCTGCAGATGATACATCCAGAAATAACTGTTTGCTCTCCTCACGTTGCAGTTACACTGCAATCCATAAATTCATACACAATCAGATCATACTAAAGACATCTCATCCTGCACTGGATGATAAAAAACCTCTTTGTTTTTGTGAGAATCAAAGCACCACCATCTGTGGGGAGGTGCAACTGGAAGAAACAAGAACTCCCCAATGTTGTTCACAAGGAAGAATTTCCTCAGGATGCTTGTCAGACATCAGATGTTTCCACCGGAGAGATCAGTATAAACTTCAGATTTTTGTTTTGTTATAAAGTGACATGTGTTTTTATCAAAATGAAAAAGTGCTACATGTTCAAGGTGCATGGTTGGTCTATACAGATTTTAAGCAAGCAGAACATCTAGCAGAGACACAAAATGGGCAGAATCCCTACCGTGCAGTGGGATAGTAACCTTCTGTCCTGTTCTTCCTGGCACTGTAGCCGTTGTCATGGTCAGTACAGTTTGGCCAGGAGGAAAGGACACATTTTCAGCAGCAATGCTTGATGCTGGAGCAATTGTCAACTTGGTTCCTTCAGTTAACATTTTTTCCATTTGCAGCTCCTTGGGGCTGTCATCTCCAAAGAGCCTCCTCTTGGCACTACCAGCTGCAGGAGAACTGTAGCGCTCGTGAACGGAGATCGGTGACAAGGGCTGCATGTCTGGTGTGCACAGAAGACATAAAAACAATCTCAAGAGGAGCAGCTCCCCAGGAATAATTCTCTACAGGAGGATAAACACACAAAACTACACACAACCTCCAAACTACAGAACCAGAGACCAAGAAATTGCTTTTAGCTGAAAGCTAATCTCACAGGTCACTGTTGCCAGGTGATATCCTAGAACACTTGGAGTGGGAAGGAACCTAGACTCAACCCCCTTGCATGGGCAGAGACACCTCCCACCAGCCCAGGCTGCTCCAAGCCCCATTGTTGCTGAGCTCAAACTTCTGTCACAGCTTCCCAGCCTGTTTATGAACAGACCTACAGTACTCTACCTGTCCCCTTTTATTCTGCAGTCACAGCAGCCAGCTCAGCTTCACCACCAGGCAGCACATGAAGACATGAGGAACCAAGCTGATGTGCAGAGTCCAGAGAACAAGCAGCCTGACAGACACTAGTCCAGCCTGCTTAGCAGATGAGCAGTGTTTGCAAGTGCTGTTCTCTCGACACACTCCTCCTCAGGAGCACTGACCACATCCCCTGGCTATGCTGCCTTCTTTATGTTCTGGCTTTTAAACTCTCTCTAAACTAACCCGTCAGAAGCCTCCACTCTCACCTATCCCTGGTTCCTCTTAGGCTTTTCTGCTGCAGAGAAAAATGCCTCAACAAACTGGAAAAACCTGAATACTAAAGGACAATAAAGCCATCAACAACCCACCTGAGAGTAAGGCACCAAGACAAGTAAAGCATCATCACCAGCACCTGCTGCCAGTGAGAGACAGCAATGGTCTGACTGGGTGCAGCTCCACTTTCCCTTGGTCAAGTAAGAGGCTTCTCACAACTCTGAATGCTTCATTCAGATTCAAGACTGCTTTTTGCAATGCTGAAGAAGTCTAAGTTCTCTCCCCCCAAACGCAAACATTCAAAATCAGAAATGGTGAACATACCCCGCCTCAAACTGCCACCAAGGTCTGTCCGAACCTCCTTCACCCGAGGATGAATGATGGGAGACACTGGCATCATGGGCAGATGCCCAAGCCCACCTCCTCCATTGCTTGCTTCAAAATTACTGGGAAATATCACCTGAGAAATCAGAAATGTCAGTCTGAGGTAACAACCATTTTCTGTGAAAAACAAGAACAACATGAATTTCCTGACACAAGGAAAGCAGGTGACATACTTCTTCACAGGTTGGGACCTTGCTTTCCGAGGCCTGCAGAGCAACCCAGAGAGCTGAGTCCCGAGTCCAGGCAAGACTCTCCAGAATCTGTTCCTCAATGCTGTTGAGGTGCTTCACCATGTCTCTGGAAAGTCCCTCCTCAGACCGAATCAGCACTTCAATCACCTGACAGCAACAAGACAGACACAAAACCAAAGTCACATCGCTCACACCTAACACTGTCAAATCATTATTCCTTTCAGGATCCCATTCCAAACTTCTCTTCAACACAGAATGCTCCAGCCTTTCTCACCTCTTAATCTTCCCCAACCCCCTTCTGATCCCTCTTTTTTTAACCCCCTTGCCCAAAGGCAATTCAGGAGTTGGGAGTGGACAGTATGTGTCCCATCAATGCAGAATACACCCCCAGGGTTTTTAAGGCCCTCTCTCATCATCATGGAGCAGGTACAGAAGGAGAGCACTAAGCACAGGCAGGGCTCACACAGCACGTGCAGCATCCCTAGGAGAGGCAAGCAGGGATCTTCACCTATGCTGGGAATGTCAGGACCCCAGCAGGTAAGCTTTTCTTCCTTTCTAACATGAGTACTTAACATAAAGGGTTGAAAACCACTGCTTTGAATTTAAGAAAAGCTTACAACCCTCAACATGTACAAATCAGGGCTGAAAGAGTTGAAATGGCCCTTGAAATATGACACTCTACCCTATACTCTAATGCAAGATCCAGTTTATTTATTTCTGATGGAGGAACAACATTCATCCTGTTATTTTAAAGCTCCAGAGATGGACCAAAACTAGGGCAGGTCACTCAGAAAGGCATCCAGACAGGTCCTGAAAGTCTCCAGAGAAGGAGACTCTACAGCCTCTCTGGGCAGCCTGTCCCAGTGCTCTGTACCCCTCACAGCTTGTCCCTGCCTTCTTGATGCCCAGGAACCCAGGAATGTGCCATTTTTCCACAGAGACCCAGTCCTAAGCCAGTGTTGATTTACCTTGTAGAAATAGAATGGCCTGAGGTCAAGCACCTCGATGATCCAGGGGAAGGTGCGGGGTGAGCTGTAGGCAAAGAGCACGATCTCCAAGCAGCACGCCAGGAGAGAGCGGTGAAACACGTCCTGTTCCAAGACAGCCTGAGGAGAGCATGGAAAATGTCAACGATCTGAGGTCTGGGAAACTGAAGTTTGAATTCTGTGGAACTCCTACTACCTAACTTATTGCTGGAGAGAAGAGTCAGTGCTTTTTTCCTACCTTCCACAATCTCCTGACAGGGAAGCTGTGAATGGCAAGGATTTGGAACACATTAACAGTGCCAAAACCACCAGGTTTTTCATACTTGGGCCAAATGACTTGGCCTCCTCGTGGAAAACCCCAAAGCAGAGCAAATGCCTTGCTGTCTGCCATGGAACGTTGCTACTGGTAGCTGGGTAAAGAGAATAAGTTTCTCTGTCCATAAAGACATGATTCTAGAAGGCAGCACAAATTCAGATGGTTAGATATACTAGAGCTGTACCATTTCAATAGCAGTAAAGACTACATTTAGGTACCTCCCATATATTTCCTTTTTTAATGCTAACAATGCTGATTTACTGCAACCTGCTGTGTTCTGGAACTGTCTGAAGATACCCTCTCAGAAAGGGTTACAAGAAGTGTTCTCCTATTCTGCCAGCTCTTTACTTACAGTCAGATCCTTCCCATGTAGTCTTCGTGTTTCTTGCACCATTATAGTCTCCAGGATTTTATAGTACAAGATCTCTGCCAATTTTAATCTGTTTACAGCAAAATCTGAAATTTAAAACCACAGAGATGAAGCCCAATGCCATTTGTATAAATGGCCTTACACTAAACTGAGCAGTACTTGTCTTTTCTTTAACAAAATAGTGCATGTGTGTGTATGTATAGACTCTGCAAACAAAAAAACATATGTTCAGAAATCTACTAGTCACAGGAAGAGCATGAAATTCTATAAAAGTTTTAAAGGATTATGTGTTTTAATAAAGCAATGTAATTTTGCAGACACCTGCAACAATGATTTTCCTATTTGTATTCAGTCCCCTTTAAATGTTAGATCCAAGAAAAATGCAAGTCTACTATATTTGCTAAGAGCTGCTATAGTTTCAATGCTCTGTTATAACATTTGGAACTGCAACTTGAGTTTTACTCTAATAAAGTTTTATCATCATAGAATGGTTAAGGTTGGAAGGGACTTTAAAGATCATCAGGTCCCAACCTCCCTGCTATGAACAGGGACACCTCCCACCAGACCAGGCTGCACAAAACCATTATCCTTAATGTTCTGTTCAACAGCCACACTTTTCTGTTTCAATATATTCTGGCTTGAAAACAACTCCACTGTATGAATTATGTAGACAATAACATAACATGGCTTTAATTTGTCCTGGATTAGCATTTTGGAACCTCCCATGAATGTAACATCCATACCTATATGGGATCCTGGCTGCTCATCTGTTGCCTGCGTGTAGCTGCGGCAGAAGGTCTCCCCGATCTCTTTTACCCTGTTCAAGATGCTCTCCATGGGGTTGCGTGCACAGGACCTGCAGCAGGACACAAAGAAAGCCTTGTTTGTATAAATAAATATCCACTTTCAAAGAAACCCCTCAACAAACAAAAAAGCCCCACCCAAATAAAAAGAGAAGCTAGTGCTGAGCTCTCTTCAACAGGCAATAACCTGCATTACAAGAGGAAAACATGAAACACACAGAAACACATTTTCCTCTTTTCCTTCCCTCAGAGAGGCTACGTGGATTTTGAAACAAATGCAGCAGAAAGCAAAAGCTACAGCAGCACCCATGGGAAAAAAATGTATCTGCTAGGAGCAAGGTAATAGGAAGAATGCTGCAACAGGCAAGCAGATAACCCAAGGCATCCAGGAGTGCAGTCTGAGGGAGGCCAGGGAAGCTTTGCAAGTGAAGGAGCAGCATCTTTCCAAAAATACCTTATTTACTAGCAAGGTAGTGAGGATATGACAAAATTCACACAGTCACTATTATAAAAGGGGCCAGAGAATCTGTCTGGAGATGCTCTGAGCATCCAGATTTTCAAGCAATCCTCTATTACGGGACAGTGGCTTGTGACTAGTGTCAAACCAAGACACTCAACTATTCAGAAAACCCAGCACTGAAGTAAAATGAGGTTTCACTGAACAAAGCCTTCTAATTAACTCCAAAATTATGTTTCCAAGGCATTAAAACTGCAAAGAAAATATTCAAAAGCATAGAAAATGACACAGTCCAACCCAGAGTTCTTTCCACGTCTCATAAGCAGACAGGACATATCCTAGTGCTTCCTGAGCCTGTGTCCAAGATGAAAGAACTACTCAACACATTTCTTGTCAGAGGTTCACTCAGTTCTCTGTGTCAATATTTACATCTCTTGACACTGGGTTATTACTTGAACACAGTTTTCACTAATGACTATAGATACATTCATGTTTTAATTGTGTAATATAAATCCTATCAAACAGTCCTTAAAAAACAAACATTCCAAATAGAAGAGCATCTTGCTGAGCATTTTTGAGCTTCTAAGAACAAGTGCTAGGAAAACTTTTGAAAATATATGTAATCCCAGAGATGAGAACAAGGAGTAATATTTTTCACCCATTTATGAAGGTTGCTTTAAAAATCCACATCACTTTTGCACTTCCAATGTTACGTGCTAAAACCAGGTGTCCATTCTGATCAACCAAAAATTATCTGGAGACCTTCTTATGATTTCCCAGTATGATACAGCAGCCATAAGGGCTGAGGGAGAGGCTTGTGACTAGGAATGCTCTAACTCCTGCTGGGATGTCTGCCCTAGGACAGGAATGACAGCTCAGGAGGGAAGCCAAAAAGCTGAAGCATGCTCAGGGAACAGGCACCAGAACAACCCCAGAAATGGAGAAGGTGGCTGCTGCAAAGCAAGAGATCAGCAGCAGCAGCCTGGGTCACTGCTGGGCTTACACGTGCTGTGAGGTTAGGCTAAGACATCCTGCAGCAGCGTGAAGGAAAAATGGGGAGCCTTTTGGCTGCTTTTAGTCTTATCTCAACTCCTCAAGGCAAAGATTACAGCTTGTTGACTCTTAACACTTCCCTCTTCCCCAAGACCTCTGCCAGCACAGCTATCATATCTTTTAATTGAGCTATACTTGTTTAAAATTAACTTAAAAAAACCCAACAACTTTGTCTTTCAGGCAGACAAACAGCTAAATAAATATTAGCAAAAACTGGTGGTGACAAGTGTGTGTGTGTGGGTGTGTGCGCTCAGCTACACTTTTGCAGATGAGATCACTTAGAAAACAGAAGGGTTTTGTCAACTAGAAACAATATAGGAACACAAAAATATTCTGCACCACACCAAAAAAGTCAAATTTTATCAAGGGAGCAGTCACCAGCATGAAAAGGAGTTTCTGTCTGTATGAGCAGCTGCAGTGGGAGAACTTACTGAAAAATAGCTATAAGTTGTTCACTGGGTGCATTTTTCAATCCAGCCACAATACTCTGCAACCTGCTCACACTTTGTGTTGCTGAAGCAACAGGAGTGATGACAGCTTCCTTTTCTCGTAGGTACCTTCTTCCAGTCAGAGGAGTTGAAGGTGCAAATGACCTTTTCTGTCAGATAAAGGAATAAATAAAATCAGTCAACAGAGCCATTTTAAATGCCATTGAAAGGAGCATCTCCTGCAGAATCACCCACAGATCACCCCACCAGCACTGTCCCTGAAGGCTGCCACCACAGCTGTCATCTCAGGACCAAAATGTAAAGTTATCCCATAAATACAAAAGATAACAAATCTTTAGGCAGACTAAAATGAACTCCAATGTTTTTTAAAGTAAAATATAGGAAAACAAGACTTTAAATCTTAAAGCCTGTATATTTTAAGCTCAGTTGGATCTAGAAAAATCCAAAGCAAGAATAAGAAAGTACATGCCCCTTCACAGTCCCCACTGCACGAGCTGGGTCACCCAAGGAGCACGTGGCAGAGCTGCCCAGAAGAGTCACAGGAGAACATCCTTTGGGAAATGCTCTCCTGGTGGATCTAGAGCCTCCCTTTATCCAAAGAAGGATGTAGCACTCTCAAGCAGATGGAGCTGTGTTGACTGCACTCATCTGTTTCTATCCTGCTTTCTGGAAGTGATGCAATAAACTATCTGGTTTTGCACTATTAGAACAACGACATTTTGAAGATGTAAAGCAAATATTGAGGAAAGAACACACCTGCAGTCAGCACGTGGGAACAGCAGTAAGGTCATTACACTAGAGAAACTGAACCTCAACACTGACAACTCATTCCAAACTCCTGTCTTTAACTTACCTGAACATGAAACACACTTGGGAGAACAAGCTAAGCAGCATAATCCATTTACACTAGCACCTTGTAAGTATTCTTGTTTTTTAATTGGCATATCAATCAAACAGCATGAGGCTCTTTTACCCAGCCAGCACCATCTTTTTCCCCTTATGAAAGTTTAAAAACTAATTAATCAAGTGTTTTTTTTTCCCACATGCCAATCAGATTAAAATATATTTTACATTTTTAAACATAGCAAAACATTAACTCTGTTCATAGGCTGCTTTTTGTAATGAAGTTAGACTTTGGTGGGTTTTACGTCTTGAATATTATTTTGCATAAAATAGTGCACAAGTTGACTAAAGGAGGAAAAACTGGGAACACAAAAACTGAATCAGCCACAGAGTGGTCAGGGTTGGAAGGAACCTCTGAAGATCAACTAGTTCAAACCCCTTGCCAGAACAGGGTCAGTGACAGCAGATCCCACAGGAACACATCCAGGTGGGTTTGGAATATCTCAGAGAAGGAGACCCCACAACCTCTCTGGGCAGCCTGTCTCAGGGCTCTCTTACCAGTTTATCTTGGACCTCCTGTGCTTCAGTCTGTAAATCCAGTGTAAAGGTTTAATGTATTCTTATGGGGTATAAATGAAGTTTGAACAAAACCTTTGTATTTAGGTCTTAGCTACTTACTGATTTTTCTTGGACAAAACCAGACTACTTCACACATCAAAGCGCTCTCATGTTGTTTAAGGAATAGTTACTGACTAAACTCCCCAGGAAAGAAGACCTGATCATTTCTCCTTAACAGGACAGCATCCACTGAAGTCTGCTAATGGCATCCAGCACCTTCCTCTCAAGAAGAAACTTGTAACATTTGAAGTCACCTCAGTGACTCAAAGAGCATACAAGGATGGAAAACCTTTGAAGGAACACTTGAAGTGAGAGCAGCACATTAAATCATGGAATGGTTTGGGTTGGACGGGACCTTAAAGACCATCTAGTTCCCACCTCCCTGCATGGGCAGGCTCACCTCCCACTAGATCAGGTTGCTCAGAGCCCCATCGAACCTGCCCTTGAACACTTCCAGAAATTAATCACCTTTTCAAAATGCTGCTGAAGGTGACACTCCACATGAGCTCTGGCTGCTGTTTTCCCCACCGGCACATCTGCAGGAAACTTCCGAGGAGTTCCGATCTCTTCTTCAGCATCAGCTCCCAGGAAAACCCTCTCGTCAAAGTCACCCACTGTCAGAACATACTCTTCATACTCTCTGTTCAGTGCTTTACTGGAAGAGAAGCCCAGGTTTTATATCAAACTGCTGAAGGTGCCAGTGGAGGAACAGGTGATGGAAGCATTCCCTGCTTTCAGCAGCTGTGCTGCTGTGAGCAAACCCTCCCCTGCTCCCTCCAACAGCTGCTGCTGGGACCTTTCTTCCTCCTCAGTCAGCACCAACATTTGCCTCTCAGTAAGAAGAGGAAAAAACAACTTTGCTTCTGTCACACTTGCAAATAAAGCAGTTTGGAAGGACTCAGCTGGGCAGAGGTTACATCTCTGCACACCCAGAGCCATTACCGGTGGTTGCACTAAACCAGCTACCGTGGATTTCTGCTTTTGCCACTTTGTAGCCCATAATTCTCATAATGGTACAGAGGAACTTTAGAGCTAGTGGCCTGGATTCCATTTCTAAAATCACCACTGACATATGATGCCAACCAACACTTGCATTTTCTTTATTCCAACAAACCCAACTGTACACTTAATCTCCCAGAGGTTACAAAGATTTAAACTTAAGAGTTGGGAACCAGAATGAAACTTCTGGATAAAAACCAGAACCAGTTCACATCAATAATCCTGCCTGCACATTGTACATGATTGTGACATGAAACACATTTTGGCTGTAAAGTGTCTTAGCATTTCCACTTAAGCTGGTGTATCAGTGGAACATCACAACATATTAATGGTGCCAGTGATCCCACAGGAAATCTGACTGGATCACAGGTTCATCTTCCCCACATCTTTTAGAAAAAAGGTCTATAAACAGTTTGGACATGGAAACAGAGGCTTCCACATTCCCTTTAGATGTCAAGCTACCTGCAGAGGAACAGGGACTTTTCCATCCTTCCACATGACAATATTATTTAAGTAATACTATTAATTTTTAAGTAGAAATACTAAGAGAAGTTCACTGCTTCAAACTGGTCACAGCAACTCTGTTCTATATCTCAATGTGACTGTTATCTACATTGTTTAAACAACTGAGTCTTTGCTCATAATTTTCTAAGCAAACCAAACAGTTAGAAACTCACCTTGCAAAATCATATTAAGTATTTTTGGAAAAGGCAAAAAAAGCCCATTAAGGGATCCACAACAAAGCCCCTGCTCTTCATATTCTGCATTTAAATTAGATTTCAGAAGTGAGTTAAAAGTTTCTGAACTCCCCTCCCACAGAAATATGCTACTACTTTTTTGTGGTTTTGCAAGTGTTGCTTACTTTCCTTCTGGTGCATTCACAGTAATGCACTCAATTGGAGACTGATAAATTAATCTAAAGACTTCCCTACTCTGGTATAATATCTGAAGTGTGTATAGAAACACATCTGTGACCTTCAGAGCCCAAGTTTTGCTTTCCATTAGATTACTCAAAGATTCCAGTTGCCAGAAAATGAGGGCAAGCATCATAAAAGCTGGTATTAAGGAAGACACTCTGCAGCTGAGCTCCTGACATCTGACACATCTCAGATCCAGAAATCATTCCAGCCAAACAGCAGCTTTGATTGTCATATAATTAAAAGAAATGGAAAGATAAAGGAAGAGGAAAACCTGAGATTTAGCATTCAAAGGCCTGTATTTCAGAAATTAGACCAAACCCCATGATTTAAAAACAGAAGTTGCAACTTACTTATTTTCTGTAAAATTGCTAAGATCCAACAGACATTCTCCTTTTAAGATCTAAGAATAAAAAGTAGAAATAATTTACATAATAAAATCAAAACTGTGCCAACTCTAACAGTGTGAGGGCATGATGATTTTAGCCAAAAAGGAAACGGGAGCATAACTGCACATTTTTTTGCTTAGAACAAAGGACAACAATGCCACTAGCAAGGCAAAGAGATGAGGACTGTTCTATTGGCAGGTCAGGGACTGACCTAATGAACCACTACACAGTAACTCCCACAGAGCTTGGAAAAAATTTCCAGGATCAAAACCAGACAGAACAATTTGTACATCTGCAACTTCAACCTCCCAAAGCATTTTGCTCAACTCCAAGCCAAGCAGTAACACCCACACTACCAAGATAGTTACTACTTTTTTGCCTCAACATTGTTGTCCAT